CTTGTAGGATTGCTTCTTCGTGTGTGTGTGGGTGGGTGGGTGTGTAAGTGTTAGTCGTGTGGGGATGCCCCCTTACGGGGGCGTACGTGTCTTTTGGTGTATTTGTCTGTCTGGTATATTGTTTGTCGGGGGTCGCAATTTTAAAGAAATGTATTTTAAAGTAATGCAAATAACTGATAAATAAGTTAAAACTTACCTGGGCATAACCCCGGGACAGGTACCTGAACAAAGATGCCGACGGCCTCTATGCTTAGCCGGGGATTAGGTCGGTGATTAAAAGGAAAGAAAGGGATTCTTTCCAGGTAGCCTTAATAAAGGCAGGTAGATTTTGCTCGTTGCAATCACTTCACCTCACAAACAAGCACGTCCGCTCAGCTCGGCTGTTCGCACTGAACTGTCGAATAACATATATGTTATTGTAAATGTAGATAAATATTGTTCTATTATGGCTTTCGGGTTTATCTCCTTCTTTCCTTTTAAGGTCTTCGTCCCTGGTTATCGTAGGTGGCTATTGTATCTTTACTATAGTCCATCCATGATTTCTAGTTCTTCTTCTTCTTCATCTGAATTACTTGCCAATGTCAAAAGTTGTCGAAAAATGTGAACATAACCTTGATAAGATAAATACATGAAAATCTAGAATGGAAATAAGTACCAATTTATTTAATTCCTCAAATTTTTCAGTACATGAAAATACTTGCAGAACATGTCTACAATTACTGAGGAACTGCGATAAAAATTGTATACTTGAGCAAAACATTAAAAGTAAGATTGAAGACCTCGCAGCATTAACTGTAAGAAATTAAATAGAAATTAATTTCTACGAAACTGGGTTAATTTTTTTAGCTATATGAAGAAGATAGTATACCAAACTTTATATGTGATGTATGTTTTGAGAAATTAAATAGTGCTGTGGAATTCAAACGACAAGTGGAAAGAGTAAATGAATTTTTGAAGCATTATTTAAGTACTTTATCAATAACCAAAGACAACCAATTAAAAGCTGGTAAGTATTGTATTTTATCAAAAATAATTTGCAAACACAAAAGCGGAGTACTTTTATTTACTCACAAAATATAATTGCTAAAGTATGATCCTAACATTCAATTTTTTAGAACAAGAGATGCCTGTGGTCTTGGAGAATCTAGCAGAAGAAGGTAAAGAAAAGGTAAATTACTAGTAAACTTTTAGGTTCTGGGAAAGTATTATGTTTTGATTTTTTATAACTGTTTTCCAGAATTATGGGTTAAATATTGAAAAAATTAACGATAATGGTGAATCTAATTGCACTCAAAATGGTATGCTATTACATGTATTAAAAAGTAATATTTAAAATTTTTTTCTTTTGTTTCTAGCTACAGTAAACAAAACAATTGGTCAAAATTTAAATAATTCTTCAAATAGAAGGAATACAAATCACAGAAAACAAAAAAGTTCTGTTATTTGTCCAACATGTGACAAAAAACTTAAAACCACCACTTCTTTAAAAGCACATATGAGAACTCATGGGGTTTTTGAAAAAAAACTCGAATGTGATAACTGTGGAAAAAAATATACCAATCAGTATGATTTAAGAGTAAATTTAATCAGACCATGTTGGGGATAAAATTTTATAATGCATATTTTAGGTACATTTGAGAAAACACAGTGGAGCTAGACCATTCTCTTGTAAAGTTTGTCAAAAAACTTTTGCAGATCGCAGATGTTTCAAAAAGCACAAAAAGATTCATTCTGGTAAGGCAGTTGACCTAAGTAGTAAGTTCTATTGCTTATTAGATTCATTTTTAGGGGAAAAATTGTATAAGTGTGAACTTTGCGACAAAAGTTTTATTCATTCTTACACTTTAAGGACGCACCAAAGGGTTCACAGTGGAGAAAAACCTTTTATTTGTGCTAAATGTGGACATTCGTTTACAACAACGACACAACTAAAGCTTCATACCAGGATTCATCATACTCGAGAAAAACCCTACAACTGTAGTTCATGCTCTAAAGTATTACTAATTTGAAAATGTTAATTTTTCAGATACTAATGACTTTTTTGTATATTTTAGGTTTTTGCAAGTAGTTCTGGGCTCTCAAATCACAAAATGACCCACACTGGCGAAAGAAAATTTATTTGTACAATTTGTGGGAAAGGGTCTCGAACATCATCTGATCTGAAGTGCCATCTTAGGACGCACACTGGAGAAAGACCATTTAAATGCACGTTTCCTGACTGCGATAAAAAATATAAGACAAATAGCCAATTATGTACTCATATTAGAACACATACAGGTAATACAGGTAATTTTGTTATAAAGGAGTTTTAAGTTATTAATTTTTTAATTTTTAGGTGAAAAAAACAAATGACGAGTTAGTGATAGAACAATTTTGTAAACATTCATATTAGTATATGTATTTTCAAAAATTATTAATTTGTGATTTTCTGTATATCTTTATTGTAAGTTGAAAATAAAAGGAATAACTTGTATGTAGATCTACATTTAGAAAATCGTCATACTCATGTAAAGCGAAATATAAATGTAAATGCTATAATTTAGATTTAAGGGAAACTGATCGAATAAACCTAATTATTAGGATCAGTGATCTTGTCGTTGGGAAAGGATTTGAATCACCTGTTCTGAGCTATTTTCGGGTGTAGGTCTCTGTCAGTCGTCTATACTGTCGTCGTCAACGTGCCTCCTCCATGTGGTGCAGCCCGGGGAAACTTATAGGCAAAATTGAAAAACGACGTGTAGTTTGCCACCTTCATACGTGATGGCAACACCAAAGTAAAATGTTCCGTCACACCCTATTTTATCTGCTGGGCATCCCATAGCGTCACTCGCCAGTGTGACGTCACGATCCGGCCTCTATTATCTGAAGACGCAGAAGATGAAACAATTTTAATTAAATTATGAATATATTTTTCCTCCAGGTAAGTAAGAACAAGCTGTGAAGTGTGTGACCAGTAGTAAAATAATATTGAATGATGTTAGAAATATTTTATTTATTGAAAATTGTATTTGTAATTTGTAGGTTATACCTTCTGTTAGTATACTCTCCAGGACTTTTGGCCCTAAACTGCTTTTATAAAGGAGGTAATTAGTTTGTGCTCTCGGCAGCTTAAAGAAAATCAATGATCTAAATATAGTGGGTTAAAATTGAGATGTAACTATTTGGTGGACTATACTGGGTAAGTCCAGTAAATACTGAGTAATAAAATAATATTGAACGATGTTACAAATATTTTATTTACTGAAAACTGTATTTATAATTCGTAGGTTATGCCGCCTGTTATGTTTATATGTATAATATACTCTCCAGGACTTTCAGCCATGAATAAATGTAATTGTTATTGTGCAGAATTTGTGTACAATTTACATATTTGTTTAATTTTTACATTTTGAATAAAAATTTTGTAATACCATGTATTTCTTTTTCATACACATGTACATGTCATCCCTATTATAAGAAGTATAAAAAATACGTTTGCTTCAGTAATAAGTAATATGTAACAAATGTATTTTTTATGCTTATTTAAATGAAACTTTAAATTATGTAGTGGAAGCAGTGTTGCCAGATGGAAATTTCTGTCAACAGTAGAAATGTAGCCAAAAAAACAGGAGGATTATCCTGCCTCATCTCGTGTAGGCCTGGACAACCTTCGTAGGTGGGCCCCATCCGTCGTCTACCCCGACCGCAAATGCGACCGGTGTAGGCGCTTTGTGGGTCCTCCTTTTGTCCTGGCTGGGCCCCGCCGGCCTGGATCCGTGACTACGCACGCATGTGGACCCAAGCTGAGCATACACCACATCACAAAACAGAGAAAAGAAGAAGGCTCATTTATAAGGATAAATGATAGGCAACACGCAATTTGAAAACGATTGGTACGCCACCATGCAGGCGGGTGGCAAAGTTCATGCGATGAATAGGTCCACTTCCACTCAGTGTTACCAGATCTCCTGTTTTAACAGGAGATCTCCTGTTTTCACTCTCACTCTCCTGTTCTACTGTTTTCACAATGAGATCTCCTGTTTTT